AAGGTGGAATGACCCAAATGCTGCAGGCCAAGCTCCACCTCCATTTGGCCCTCTGGCTCCTTACCTTGTGCCACGGAGTCCGACTGTACATCACCATCATAGTTTTTACAGGCCCAGATGAAGCCTCCCTCTGATTTCATAGCCTGAGCCACCATGTCATCGATGAGCCTATGCTCGTACCAGATTTTTTGGGCTTCAAATTGGGGTTTGTACTGCCTAAGAAACAGCAGAGAAAAGAGAACAATAAAAAAGAAAATTGGTTTTGTTAGGACATCATTTGCTTCTCTCAAAGGGGGTGGGAGAAGGACACAGTATTTTTTAGTATTAATAGAAGCAGCACAAACTTCAGAATCTGACAGACACAGGCTCAAATCCCTGCCCAATTTCTAGCTGTGAAACCCCAATTTAGTTATCCATAAGAGTGATTTTTTTTCCCACCTTGCGGGGAAGGTGTAAGGATTAAATGAGACAGTAGAGTATCCCAACTACTACTTTACTTTTCACAGTTCTCAATATGCTACTGATCATTCTCAAGATTTGCTTATTTTAAGGGTATAATAAGGAAAAAAGACACTATTCTACTGCTTGATATTATTCAGGAAACTAGATTTATTCCAGGATAGTTTTTAAGCTTAGTATAGATGGGTAGCAGGATGAGAAATCAAAATGCTTCAGGAAAGATTTCTCATCTAAAATCCAAGTCCTGGTCTGAACACTTGCACCTAAAAGGAAGTTACGTCATCTTGAAAGTTAACATATACTCACCTCATATGTTCCTGCATTCGAAGTTGTTATAAATTTAGACTTAAGTTCAAAGGACTGCACTACAACAGAATTTTAAATTATAACAATGAGCTTCAGAAAGAATGGAAATGGGTCTGACTCAGAAATTCATGCACTTGAAAAATCAGACCTTTCTATCAGTAACAGGGCACTTTTATTCAAACACTAACCCCTATTTAAGAGCACATTTATCTTCTGAAAGCAATCAGAATGGTTTTGTTTCACTCCTCTTAAATCTCAGTTTTGCCCTTATCTTTATGGGATAGTGATAATTTTCACTCGATTTGTCCCAGAATCAAAAAGATAGGGAGATGCAAATTCTATATGATAAATACCAGCTTACTTGAGAGAAAAGGAGATAAACAAACAAACAAACAAAACTGTACTTACTTGTCATATATCTCCTGAAAGATGTCTTTAAAACGTCCATCATATTTCTTCAGAATAGTGTTTTTGGTGCTCAGATACAAAGGCCAACCCTTAGACAGAGCCATTTGGAAGGAACTGTGCGCAAAATCTTCGATTGACTTATCTTGATTGTACATACCCATGGCGACACCACCACCATCTGTGGAGGGGAAGCCAATGAGATAAAAACAGAGAAATGCAAATGGGGTTTAGTTGTAACAAGGCTAAAGTCACTCACTACAACCAAATGACCTAATTGTCAGCTCCCATGTATGGGACCAGACTTCGGAAGTCGAGGCAGGTCTCCAACCTGAGTATTCCATGAGTTGCCAAGGCACAGAATGGGATAAAATTAAGTTTGGACAAGGACATTCTGACTTGTTTTGGAAGGGCAATACAAATGGGAAAAACATATGGTCTTTAGGATCCTGAAGACACTGAAATACCAAAAACTACTGATGTGAACCAAAACATACTCAAGAAAGGATAAATAATTTTGAAACTTTCTTTGACATACTTTAATAATTCCTGAACATGTATTTTAAACTTTAGGGGTGTACTCAATCCTCAGTCATTGATAAAAATTTGCATTTCAAATACTGAATAAAAATTCTCACAACTTCCTGGAGAATATCGAGCATTCCTACTGTAATTGGCAGAAATAATTATAGTATGTGTATAATCAATGGTGTTTCACAACTCTTACTAAACTTTGTTATCACTAAAAGACAGAACTTAAAGCCATGCCAACGCCCAGGGTAAACTTGGGCTCAGAATGTGAAAGGTGCTGAAACCTGCAGAACTAGATTCTATTAAAATGACATG